CCAGTGTCCACTTGTCAAAGTGTCTCCTAAAACAATAGCACATGTGGCAAAAGTTATTTTTTACTATACCATTTTTATTTTTCAGCTTTTTACATTTAAACTATATTTTAGTATTCAGAGTGCAGGAACTCTTTCTTTTAAATGAAATGAACAAAGGCATTATACAAACAATAAGCTAATTACACACACAGAGTAGGCTATAGCTAATATGTACTGAAATGTAAGGGATTTTTACACCGGCATATTAAACATGCGACAAAACTGGTATTACACAGTACCATTCAAAATGTAGGCTAACGTTATATTACACACATCCTCTGTGAGTCTGACGCAATGTTTTAACAACGCCGTTTTAATTTCGGCGCCCATTTTAACAGATGACTTGATTTTTATTTGATTTACACCATAAAATAATCACGACGAAGTGTGCTGATCAACACGAAGCTCGTGTGAATACCGACTGTTGTCATTAAAGCATGTATTCTTAACATAGGAGTCCGTAGATCCCGAGGAATGTGTGAAATACTACCGCGTCCGCGCTGCTGAAGCCCCGCGCAAGTCTCCCTCGCGCCCCGCGGTCGGAGGATGTGTGATCCGGGGTTAAGTTACCAATATGAACCGCGAATATAACGTTACCTTCATAGTCTACGAGTAACCCAACATGAAAAATAAGAAACTGAAATAATAAGTCACTTACCACAGAGTTGAGAATCACTCCTCTTGCCGCCGCCGACACGACCGTTGAAGATCACAATGCCTCTGAAGATTTGAAATTTACAGCAATATTCTGTATTTTGAATCAAACCGTCACGTGACCCCAGAATGCATTGCAGTTTACAGCAATATGCTGTATTATTAGAATACAGCCAGCTGCTGTAAAATAATGCTGTAATTTTTACAGCAATTCATTACAGTGTACATTTTAGATGCGATGTTATACTCCATGTAATCATAATATTTGTTGGGAAACTACAAACTTTTCCTAAGGGGTGGTGAACAGTCTTACAAAAGCGAGAGCTTACAAAAGCTACAGTAGACACTATGGTTTAGCTCCGCAGTACTTGAGCGAGCTCTTAACGCATTATAGTCCGTCACGACTCATGTCTATTGCGATCTCAAAATTCGGGCCAGTTGATAATACCTAGAATATCAAATCGACTGCTGGCGGTAGATCCTTTTCCTATTTAGCACCAAAACTTTGGAACAGTCTTCCTACCATTGTCCGGGAAGCAGACACACTCAGTTCAAAGCTAGACTAAAAACACATCTCTTTGACCTAGCATACACATAACACATTATAAACTTCTATAATTCAATGTTAGGCTGCATAGATTAGGTCAGCCGGAACTGGGAACACTTCCCTTAAATCTTGATGTACTCGTTACATCATAAGAATGGCATCTACGCTAATATAGTGTCTTTGTTTATCCCGAGGTTTTCCCGCAGCCTGCCGGATCCAGGCCGGTGTGGTGCCGAATTCTGACCCCCGCCAAATTATTACCCCCCTAGTATTGGTAGGTTTAGGATTAGTTGTGGGGGTGGGGTTAGGACTAGGCAATCAGGTACTGACTTCAATGAGGGGGGTAATAATTTGGCAGGGAGTCGAAATTCGGCACAACACCGTATCCAGATCTGACGAAGGAGATTCGCCTGGACCCGATGACAATGCAGTGCTGAAGTGTCAACTATCCTCTCCCTATGGAGGATCCCTTTCCCACTCTACAGATAAAGCGTTGTGAATTTCGGTTTGCGTACCCCGAAGTAGTGATGGGCAGATCGAGGCTTCGTGAAGCAATGAAACAGTTGAAGCAAACGTGCCATATTGTTTCGAGGCTTCGAATCAATCCGACACCCGTCTCCACGGTGACACCTAGTGGTCACTTGCAGGTGTTGATCTGAAACAACTTTGATTTTTAATACAACGAGCCAATAAAAATCTTTTTTTATTATTTTTTTTATTATTTTTTACAGATAATTTCTCCAGCCTTTGAAAAAATCCTCTCACAAGGGACACTTGTTGTTGGCATGCAAAGATATTTTTTTAGCAAGGACATACAAATGAGGAAAGATTACTGCTCTCTCTTTCCAGGAAGTTAGGGGATCATGAGTTCTGGGCAAAAACGCATCGTTGAGGTATTTTTTCACTTCCACTGTGGCATTAGCTGTAGCATTGTGTATCATCTGGGTTTCACGGATGTGATTATCAAAATGTTCCCATAAACTGTCCTGTGTTTCTACTGGTGTTGATGATGATGGGCCTGATGTTGACATTTGTGGCTCTGAATGAAAATGAAAATCTATTATATGCATCTATCTATTAATCTATGTATATATCTAATAATATATCTATCTATCTATCTATTCTATCTATCTATCTATCTATCTATCTATCTATCTATCTATCTATCTATCTATCTATCTATCTATCTATCTATCTATCTATCTATCTATCTATCTATCTATCTATCTATCTATTATATGTATCTATCTATTAATCCATGTATATATCTAATAATCTATCTGTCTATATATATATATATATTTCTATCTATGCATCTATTAATGTGTCACTATATGTACTCTGTCTCTCAGTCAATGTGTAAATTTAAATGGAAGCCTAAATATAACTAAACAAATCGCACTATAAATGTCACTATATCACCAAAAATCCGCTACCTCAAAACCAAACTCCTTTCACAAAAACCCACGATGTGAAAATGCGTTGACTTCACTTTTATACTGTGTGTGATAGTGTGATCTTTCCCGACCGACCTGTCAATCAAACCCTGACTCGGCGGAGCACTCCACCTGATGAAACACTCAGAAGCTTCATTTAGCCGTAGTCACGTGACGTGGGTGTTTTGAATCACGCTTCGGATCAGTGTTTCGAATCATCTGCGCTTCGGGATCTCGCAAAGCTTCGGAACAACTGTTTCGCGTCAGCCATCCCTACCCCGAAGTGATAAAATAAAACAAAATTCTGTATCAAAATTTATAGGCAAGACAAGTAGTTTGTTTAGGAATTACAAACATGCGCACATATTTTCAAAAGCACATTACTATAGACTCAATTCTGAATGTGCATGTGAACGCCGTCAGCGTTAAAGGAGAACTCCGGCCAATTTTAACATTGAGCTCATTTTTTTTGTACATTTGGAGTGCTGTCAGTACAGACAAAAACGACAAAAATCGGTGTTGCCTACACCGTGTTATCCTCTTTTTAAAATTCGCACCCTGTTGACTTCAATGGGGCAAGTTCTAAACCTGCTTTTAGCCTCTTAACAACCTTAATGCGCGCGATCATTGGTAAATAATATAACTAATGATCGCGCGCGCGAACTCGACAATCGACTACTGTGGACTTCGAACGAAAACAGGAAGTAAATACAGGTATGTGAGCTGGCTGAATTAACATCATTTTTATTAATATCTTTCACATCTATTGCAGTCAGATTGACCGTGGTCACTCTTAATAACACCACTCACATGGCTGTGCACTTGTAATGACACATTAAGGTTGTTAAGAGGCTAAAAGCAGGTTTAGAACTTGCCCCATTGAAGTCAACAGGGTGCGAATTTAAAAAAAAAATGGGATAACACGGTGTAGGCAACACCGATTTTTTGTCTGTACTGACAGCACTCCAGATGTACAAAAAAATGAGCTCAATGTTAAAATTGACCGGAGTTCTGGGTTCGCGTTTAAAGTCTGATCATTTCGACGGAGGTGAATCAATCAAAACTAACTTTAGCTGGAAATAACATTATTCAAGAACCGCTATAAAACCAAAACAATCTCTGTTACCTTAAATTATATGTTTATCTCTGTAAAGCTGCTTTGAAACAATCCATTGTTAAAAGCGCTATATAAATGAAGATGACTTGACTTGACTAATGTTGGCAAGCAGGCGAGCGGAAAGCTTTGCCGTTTGTTTACATGATCATAGCAACATAAAACCTATGATTGGAACTAAACTTATGATTGAAAACGCTACTACAAAAAATAAGACATACTAACAAGTTGTAATCCATAAACAACAGATTGTCCCGACAAAGTGGGAACTGCTTCATTTCAGGAGAAGCTTTTGTGCGTAGCCTGCATTGTGGTTCTGGAAGCTGTTCTTCGTTAAATGTGCAGCACACAGAATAACGCTGGTGTTATAATGTTCAGGAACAGTGTTTAAAATAAATTTAACCACTCTAAGTTTGTCAGCCTTAGGAAGGTCAAACAAATGAGTTTTGGCCTCGTGCCCTTTTTTGCGTATTCCGTGGGCACGTATTATTTGAATGAGAAAATTGGGACTTCAATAAAGTCCGGAAAAATCACGTTGTAGTCCAAACGAGGCGTTCGTTGTAGTTCTTGGAAAGTGGATTTTGTTAAATAAAATATCTCCCTTTGGAGTGGACTTTGAGCTTTGTAACCTTGCAGATCTTTTTTATGCTCAAACAGCAACATCACACACTAAAGTTGAAAAAGTGGAAAAGCATAATAATTTTAAAATGGTGCGTGCAAACACGATCAGTGTGTCAATGTCGATCCTTTTAGTCTGATTTTGCAAGACTAGTTACTTTAGCTGTAAGGGCAACAAACCTATTTCATTTGGTTTTTAAAAAGTAGTTTTTGGTGTTTTGGAAAGCACTCCCTGAAATTCGCAGTTACATTGTGTTGCTTTAGGTTGTGAGATCTCCTCCCTTCACAAGAGTAACGCTGTGATGCAATCCTGTTAATTCCTGCCCTGGGCTTTTGTTCTAATCACACCTGGGAGAAAAGCAGCCAAAGTTCGTGAGGGAAAGAGGCAGTGACCTCATTTTTGACAAACAAAAGGAAGTCAGACTTTAGGAAGATATAAAAACCACAAGTCACGTACTGGAATACAAAAATCCCCCGTTGTGTTCATATGACCTGTCACAAGCTGCTTCTTCTATTTGAGTGCTGTTAGGAACGAGACAAGTGTATTGCAGTAATACTTCTTGTTTATTCACAGTTAGAATCACAGATCTCAATACATTAATTTTCCAAATAATAGCATATGTAATCATTAATAAATAGATAAATAGGACAATAAAATACATTAAATACACTCAAAAATTATAAATAATTATATATAGCACAAAAAAAACATTGTTCCTTACAATTTCTACAACGAAATACTTAAGATAATAAACATCATATTAGCTTAAAATAAGTTTACGAGGTGTAGTGCTGTTGTTATAGTGCTCATGACTGAGTACATGGTATTCAGTGCATGGCGCTCACTGCATCTAGTGTGTTTTAGAACCAAAACGTTTCGTCATGATGCAATAAGGACTATCAGAATTAGTCAAACTACTTAAAAACAAATGCCCTGAGAACATACTTTCAGAGTTTTAACATAAAACGCTTGTCTTTGTACCAGTGTCACTTGACTTATGTGGCTAATAAATCACAACGCAAACACTCCAAAGAATGTTTTGGCATATTCATCCTCGACGTCCACCACACGGGTGGTTTTGGTTGACAACATATCGCCCTCCATAAGCTGGAAGACGGCACCGAGGTAGACGGTGCTGTAGACGGTCTTCCCGTCTTCGTTTGATTGGCAGACGGAGTGGGCCGAGTTCTGCAGGGGCATCTCCTTGCCCACTGCGTTCGTATAACGGTAGATGCTGTGGCTGAGGAAGTTCAGAGGCGCATCATCATCGTCTTCGTCCATGTTGCACTTTATGGCATAGGACACCTGGCTGTACACAAAGTAAAGGCCATCGGCAGGAATGCGAATCTCATTGTTGACCAGCTCGAGACCGCCCTGTGCAAACGACTGATCCACGCCGCCGACCCATTTCAGTAAATCCGACTCTTGGTTGCTATAACGCTCACCTGGGAATGGAGAAGATAAATGTGTGAGAAGGTGGCACTTAGAATGCATCAAAATGGTAAAAAAAAAAAAACAGCATTCAAATGCTTTCCTATGAGATCTAACTGTAATCTTAAAACTTGAGACCATAAGCTAGTATTGAAGTGGGCCTGTTTAAGGTTTCTTGGGTGTTTGGGTTAGTGATCGAGATCTGTCTTTAGTAGAGCATGCAATGAAGTAATCATACATTTTATTGGAGTGTCCCCACCTCTTGCCACCCACCACAAACTAAATATGTGCAGCTTTATATTACTATAATTGGATTACTTCCCACTACACTAGGAAATCCACATTAGCTAATGTTTGATGAAACATTCAGTCTCGTTGCCACCGGCAGACCTTTTAGCAGCTCTATGCTAACAAATGCCTTTTAGAAATCTCCGATTTTTGAGTATCTGATAAGATGATCTTGACTAAGAATACTCTTGAAATGAGATGATGACGTATATGACACCGGAGCACAGAGAAAGTCAAAGACACAGTTTGAGACTCACCATGTAAATGAATGGCTGCCTTTGTGTTCTCAGCGATCTGCTTTAGCATTATTCCTTGCTCTGTGGAAAAGAGGATTGGTGTCAGTTTTCACAGTCTTGAGTCTAACAACAGAAGCCAATTAATGTGTAAAATAATTTAGCATATAACCAGAAAAGCAAAACGTGGAGTTTGATGTAAAAAGAACAACATTTAATTGCAATTCGTAACTGTTTTTACATTTTGGTAATTTGTATAAAATCTGCTTTCGCCCCTCTGACAGTTAGGTTTAGGGATTACGAGTGATTTCAAACAAATCACATCGTACGAATTCATGCAAAATAGTTGCGATCAGGATGAAAAAGACAGATTTAGCTTTAAAAAGTGCTAACAGAGATGGAATGCTAGGAATGTTGTTTACCTGATGTCGTCGTGCTGATTTGTTTCTCTGGAAAGTTTTGAAGTCCTGTTTGGTTTGTTTTCTGTGAAAGACACGGCAAAAGTAGCTTATTAATGACTCGTTTGAAATGTGAAATTAGGTCACACTGTTATGTTACTTGAATAATGACTCTTGTCCCACACTGAAGTTTCATCTTACCTTGGTATGCCAGGCGAAGAAAAGAGCAGCGGTGGTGCAGAGGCAGACAAACACGACTGCGGCGACTGTCTTCCATATCCAGCTTCTGGAGGACTTCACTGGTACAGGTGCCACCGTTGTCTGATAAACTCCCCCTGCGCTGGCTCCCACATCTACTGTCGTTTCGTATTTCACCATGCTGTTAGTTCTCTGAGATCTGTTCCTTTTTGTGTGAGTTTTTGATATGAAGTTATTTGCTTCCCTCTGACTTTATATACACTAAATGGGAAACTCCAGTGATGTCAGTGTGCAACCAGCTTGAGGAACAGAGGTTGGTTTGAAAAGGGAAAGAACACCCTCCCTCGGCTCTCAAACACCGACTTTCCACCCACACACTAACCTCGAAATGCAGCACTCACACACACCCTCACACTCGCCATGCTGAACAGTGATAAATATTACATCCTCTTCACACTTTCAATAAACTATTCTAATTACATTACAATTCTGCTTTGGTTTATTGTTTGGTTCCCTTCATAAGTTTAATTCACCTTTTATTGCACCTATATTACGCTTGACAGACCATTAGTTAACTTAATGTAGCCTACTTTTTTAATTAGAAGCAACATGTAATTTTGATTTTATGTTTTTTTCATAATTAAATTCTCATGAATTATCTGTTAAGCAATATATGATGTTCAATAATGGCTTTTTAAAGAAAGGTATAAGCATTTCTGATTGTTTAACATTTTATATGTACAGGATTAAATTAGTAATTAAGCTATTTCATAATCCCTTCTCTGACCTCACAGTGAAACCTGACAAACCAGCTCCATCTGATTAATGTCAATATGCCTCAGGCGCTTTCAGTTTCAGTCCGGTGTTGTAATATAAGAGCCTATCCAACACGGCCAGCAACACACAGATGACTTACTTCCTATTGGGAGATTCCAACCCTGAATTCTTCTGGCCTTTACGGTCTTGTTTTTGATTTCTCTCTCCTTTTCACTCTCTTTATCTCATGCTCACTTTCTGTGCCGAAAACTACTAACAGGTTTGTTACTGAAGCGGAAGTCTATTGATGAAATTCTATGTTAATTTAGCAGTTATAAAAGCTGATGCAAGACACAGTCCTAATAAACATGAGCCATTTCGCAATATACATATTGTGCAGGCTCTGAGCTCTAATCTTTTTTTTTGTGGTTTCTTAAAAAACCCTTGTGTGATTATTTTTCTTCTTCTTTTTTTCTTAAAATGCCACAACATTCCCCACAAGAAAAAGGGAACACTGTACTGATTAAATTCGCAATTGCTAGAAAATGTCAACGGCATCTTAAAAATAACCTCACAGCTGAAGTAAAAATCCTGATAATTTTGCGCCACTTGTAAATTTTGGATTTCTGGTGCAACGGCATGGAAAGAACTTTGCATGGGATAATGGGTAGACAAGGCCTTAGTTGGAGTCGGAAATATTGTGTTTCGAGCACATGAATCACCAAATTAAGTTATATTTACAAGTGGGGAACTCTGAATTCTAAGCTAATGATACATGTGATGTGAAGGGGGGTGTTGATTTAAAACATGGCGGAAACAATGATCTATCATAGGCCAACAATATATTATAATATCTATAATATATCTATAATTTATGACATTATGTGACTCTCAAGTAGTGCTCACAAACAACTTCCATACAGTATTCGAATCGCAAATGTGAACGAATTCAATGTCAATTCGATGTCGACGCAATTTTTCTTCTCATGCTAGCCTGAAAATCACCTGGCTGTAACCATTATTGATAGTGACTAAGTAAAAATCAAAGATGTCGACCTCACAGAGTCTCACCTTTGACGCGCAGTGTTGGGAAAGTTAATTTTCTACACTAGTTCAAAGTTCAATTCACAAAGTTTAAAATGAACTTTCAGTTCATTGTTCATACTTCAAAAAATGAACTAGTTCATAGTTCTTTTTTCCATATGTTGCTGCGAGCTTAGTTTTTTTTTTTATTATTGCCACAGCCCATATACAACCACAGACAGCAATTATTTTATCGATGGGCAAATTTTGCACCGAAATGTAAGATTTTTCCCATCCTCACCGACCTTGTCATAAAACTCGTTTAAATGATCACAGGGTTCTCAAGTTTTATCAAAAGCTTGGAGTGAGATCACATGCGGTTAGGGGAGGAGCCTAAATGGAGCCCCGCCCCTGCCTAGCCCCGCCTCCAATTTTACCCATTGTTCATAATTAACCAGCAAAAATTGAAATTATAACAATTGATAAATGACAGAGCAATTCATCACATCAAATATAGGCCTACTCTTTAATGTTATATTTCAAAATTAGGCTACAAATATATAACAAATTGCTCCAAAATGTTTGGAAAAACAAATATTTTTGCATTTTTCCCTGACATCTTTGAAAAATACAAATGCAATGGCAATGATTAGGCTAATGTATGTTTTGACAGGATATACAATATTACCAAGAGCACTCTGCTTTAGCCTTAATGTAGCCTAACTAGAAATACTATTAATACAGTATAATATAGAATTTAAAATAAACTGAAGAAATACATCTTCATTCCTTCCCATACCCAATAACATTTCCTTAGCCAAACTGAGCCAAAGCTTTTGGCCTGGTTGCAAAGCAGTTGTAGAGTTTTTGACTGCACCAATAATGTATACGATGGGCTATATATTAAATGTTCTAGAACAGGGGTCTCAAACTCGCGGCCCGCGGGCCATTTGCGGCCCGCGGGGTGATATTTTGTGGCCCCCTACTTGACATTAAAGTTTAATGTTAGTGCGGCCCGTCGTTGCGTGTGCCGCGAAAAAAAAAAAAAAAAAAAAATGTATCCCTTATGAGCTACCACAGATAGTCTCGTGACAGCTTACGGAGGGTTTGTTGTCAATAGTTGTCATAGACAACCGCGAAGTACAAACATACTGCGCCTGGAAAAAATGAGCGCGTCGCTTCAATTATGAGCGCGCTTGCCGCGCGCCTACATTTGAAATTACGAACTTGAGCGCGCAAAATATGTGAGCGCGATATGTGAACGGCCCCTTGTCGAGCTAACACCAATCAGGCCACGAGCTACTGGTAGCTCGCGAGCGACGTGTTGGAGAGAGACCCTGCTCTAAAACAATGTGAGAATAATCACTTTGAGCTTGTAATATGTGTCCAACAGGTTCATAAGAAGGTTTGCTTTGATTTGTGCAGTCAGTAATTTGAGACACTATACAAAGAATTCAATAAGACGGGCAGACATGACTGCAAATATTTGTATTTCAAAAGCAATAATTGTTTTTCTAAGTATAATAAAAGGAAATGTGCCTTCCAAAAAAAACATTCAATATCATTAATGTGTTGTATAAAGAAAATAAAAAGGACATAAGCAAATATAAATATCACAAATATGTGTTATAGACAAAGAAAGTTTGTAAAATGAACTTCAACTGTCAGAAGGACAGCTCATGAAGAACCAATCATGTACAGAAAGGAATGTTCAAATTCAGAGGAACTGTTCAGAAGAAACGTTAATAAATATTGAGAAGATTGGATCAGTTGTGCTCCTTTTTTGGAATACTTGAATACTATTTTTTTGTGGAATACTTGATGCGGCCCAGCCTGACCCAGACTCTACCTCTAGCGGCCCCCAGTTAATTTGAGTTTGAGACCCCTGTTCTAGAACTTCTAGTCTAAAAATGTTAGACGAGCTTTCTTCCAACTTACTTTCTCCATCACGACGTGTGTTCGCGCGATGTCGCGGTGGCCGAACTTCCGTGTGTGTTCGCGGACTTCGCGCGTCTATAAGTTGCCTAGTAACGAACGCAATCTGGCCGAGATGCGGACGCGCTGGCGGCAGGAAACTTATCTTTGTGTGCATGCGCCTCGTATACAACGTTATATAAAAAGCTTGCAGGACAACTTGGTTGGCATTGCCTTTTCAGCGTGAGATATACACGGTTTGGCGTGTGAGCGTGTGAACTGGTTGAATTGCGTGTGTCTCACGGCCAATGCGTGAGACTTGAGAACCCTGTGATCATACGACGCCTCCTCGCTCGCTGCTTTGTCGAGCTCATGCTGCTTTTTGTTTTAATGACGCATGCGGCGGTGCGTGCGACACTGGTGGCTGGTGTTGCCAGATTGGGTGTGCCAGATTGGGTGTTTTTTTTCGCTACATAGCCTATACAAGGCCTGTTTACGGTGTGTTTTAGCCGGGTTTTCGCCTGGAAGGCTCTATAGAAATCTGGCACCCTATTGAACGAAGTTAAACTGAGAGAGCGTGCGTTCACAGACACCAGAATGAACGAGTTCACAGTAACGTTCATCAGGCAGTAATTCAGTAGCCTACGTTCAGTTCACGTTCGCCCAAAATATGAACTATCGTTTATTGAACGCGTTCAGGCACAACACTGACGCGAAAAGAACGCGATTGCGGCGCGAGCTCGTAAACCGAGAGAAATGTACATAAGCCTGTGTACATATGCCTGATGTTGAAGAGAAATGAGAAATGTACATAAGCCTGTTGTTGTATCAAATTTGATACTTAGGCCTAGATTAACATGATTTTCAACAAAAAAAAACGCATCTATGGATAATCAGGTAACCTAGGTGGCTTTGTCGGGTAAATGTTGAAATATTAGCAGTAGGCCTATAAAAGTTATTCGTACGTTTTTTCTTCATAAAAATCATTAAAGATTCCACAGCAAAAGTAATTTTAGAATTAAACTAAGGCTTACTTCTGAAGTATGGATCAGATGACAGAAGGCATGTAGATTGTGTACAACAGGTTTTTAAGTGTTATAAAAACCTTCTGTGTTGTACATCACAAGCATCACACACATGACCAGCGTCGGCCAATAGTGAGCCTACGTGTGACGTACAACACAGAAGCGCTGCGCAGTTACACTACGTGAACTCACTCGAGGCCCACAGGAAATTAATAGTTGAATAAAGTCGTTATTTTTGTTTGTTTTTTTGCACACAAAAAGTATTCTCGTTGCTTGATAAACTTAAGATTGAGCCACTGTAGTCACTTGGACTATTTTAACTATGTCTTTGAAAACTTTTCTGGTCCGGCAAGTTTCAATCCCTTAGAAGCCTATGGAGGAGTGATCCAGCTCTCAGATTTCATCAGAAATATCTTAATTTGTGTTCCGAAGATGAACGAAAGTCTTACGGGGTTGGAACAACATGAGGATGAGTAATTACTGACAGAATTTTCATTTTTTGGGTGAACTAATGATGTTGATAATTTAGTGTGAAGGTAACGTACCTAATATTTTGAAATGAAAAGTTGAAAACATGACATCGATTACCTCTATTAATCAACATTTATTTTATTAATAATGTGTCAAATGAGACATCTTATCTCT